ATTTTTTATATAAAATTCATAGAAAATAATATATAATTTTTAATTCCAGATTTTTCAAATTTTTTTTTATTTTACTGGCAAGTATATTCGACAGCGTATTGCTGTCGAATATATCATTCAAAAAAAAAAAACATATTTGACAACCAAAAGCTGATCGACAGATAATGGCTGTCAAATATATCATTAAAAAAAAAAAACATATTCGACAACCATTAGTTGTCGATTAAACAAGTTTATTCGACAGCTATTGGCTGTCGAATATAATCCCAAAAAAAAAACATATTCGACAGCCATTGGCTGTCGATTAAACTTGTTTGATCGACAGCCAATGGTTGTCGAATATAACTTGATAAAATTATAAATCTGGCTACCAAATTCTGTCGATAATCAGTATATTCGACAGTAAAATTCTGTCGACTAAATAAGTTTAATCGACAGAGAAAATTGCTGTTGAATATACCGGTTATCGACTGCAGTTTATTCGACAAAAAAGGTTGTCGAATATATCTGTCGATTAAAAAATAATCGACAGAAATTCCTTCATATTTGATAGAAAATTATGTCGAATATACTGCGTTTTCCAGTAGTGTTTGAACCTGTTTCTTTAGCCCTATAGCTTAGTTCTAATAATTATCCTTACATTTTAGGTTAAGTTTTAGCAACTTCATCTTCAGCACAGTCTCTATAGGGTTGTGATTACAGGTGTTCTTGGGCTATGCTTGCCCTTATGGCATTAGTTGTAAGGGTTTCTGGAACTTAGAATTTCACTTAAGAGCACATTGTAGAAGAAGTGCAAGTTATTCTTTTGATGGCAAATCTATAAGAAGAGCAAAGACCATAATAGAGAAGCACAGAAAAGAGGCATAGGCAACATAATTCTAACCAAAGTAAACAAAAAATGTTCATAAAGAAATGAAGAACCAAGAGTGTGGTTCCCTAAGTAAAACAATGCCTATTCATTGTTCAGTGGATATATGAGAACATATGATTAGTACAATATATGAATATTGAACTAGTGTATTATAATTATTTTTGTGAATTTTATTAGTTAGGAGGGAAGCTTGAAAGCATTTTTCATGTTATAATCAAGTTTTTTGAGTTTAGTATTGCTAGATGTGCTTTTCTGGAAATGTGAGATATAATATGATTGATCTGTTTCCATGGAAATATGAAATTTCTGAATCTTCAGCAAAACTCAAGGGATGTTAAATTCATGTCTTGACAATAAAATTAACTAGTCTACAGAAAAAAGCACATTTAGGTTGGAAGAAGTAGCTAAAGAAGTCTGTAAATCTTTCCCCTTCTATCACAGTAAATCTTAGAAGTTTAGATCTAACCATCCAACATGAAAATTAAATTTCTTTGAAAAATAATAAATAGAGCACTATATTAGTATGGTATGTCAGATCGTAGACTTTTTGTAGCAACAATTCAGATTCATACACACTATGCATCTTCTAGACATCATCCGAATTGGCTGTGCAATTAGATTTGGTTAAATACTGTTTAAACCCCCACAAATTCCTATGGTGTCATGCACAATGTTTCTTGTGTAATTGACATTGATGCAGTATATGCCTACAATTGATATATGGAGTATATAGGCTACATCTTTGCTGAGGTTTTAACTAGGAAGCCACTTTTTCCAAGAAAAAATGTTGTTCATCAACTAGATTTGATAACCAATCTCCTTGGGATACCTTCATTAGATACCATCTATTGGGTAGACACCTAAATTCTTTTGTAAAATGTTGGTTAATTCATGTTTATAAGACCGGTGTCGTCATCTTAAATTTCTCTTTGTTTTTGTTCTTGATATGTAATGAACAAGTCTGAAATGAAAAGGTAAGGAGATACTTAGCCTCCATGAGAACAAAACAGCCTATACCATTGGAACAGAAATTTCTGAATGTAGATCCCTTGGTTCTACACCTCTTGGAGAGATTACTTGCCTTTGATCCAAAGACCATCCTATTGCTGAAGAGGTTTATAGCTGTACTTTTGATATTATTCTTTTTACTCCTAAACTGTTGTTTTATTTGTTTCCCAATGTTTTCTACAATTTCTTTTGGTGAATTTACTCTAGTGTGTTGTGTTTGACACAAATAAGTCTTTTTCATTTCATATATAAGCACTTGCAAATCCTTAATTCAAGGGACTAGCAATGGTTGAGAGAGAGCCTTCATGTCAATCGATAACTAAGATGGAATTCGTGTTTGAAAGGAAAAGGGTCAAAAAGGAAGAGATAAAAAAGCTAATTTTCTGGGAGATTTTGTGATTACAACAAACCAATGAACTTCTTCCAATCCAAGTCTTCTCTTCGGATGACCTGCAAAGCCCTGTGGTGGATCCTCGAGGTAGACTCTCCGATGCTTAAGTAAGCAATAGTCTAGTATACTTTTAAGAATTATGGAAAAATAAGTTTTAGGTTAGTTTCAATTACCTATTTGACTTGGCCTCTAGGGGTATTTATAGGCCCTAATGAGGCATCCAAGTGGCTTGCTTAATGAGATATCCGAGTGGCTTGCTTAATGAGATATCCAAATGGCTTGCTTAATGAGATAATTGGAGTTTGACATGTCCATGCAGGTGATGATCTCGGGGATAGAGAATTGGGTGCAAACATGTCTACTATAGTTGTCATGCGACTGCACGACCGAGAAGAACTAAAGTTACGAGTTACTTCGGTCATTAAGAAAATGTAGCAATACATCTGAGGTCCTTAATCTCATACCTATCTTTACACTATTCCCCCCTGGAGTCATTCACTTGTGATGATGTAGCTGGAGGTGGTAAGGGTTGTGCATTATCATAAGGAGATGATGAAATATGATGAGAAAGGTAAATAACAAGCTATGCAATATATGATTTAACTATAGTGATTGTTGCATTATGGTCATGATCGAAGTAAAATTGGTGATGCGAAATCATTATAAGCGAAAACGGGATAAGAGATGTGACATGTGGTCACTAAGGCTGTAACAAAAGTAGAAATAGTGACTTGTGGTCACTGAGGCCGTAGTCAAAGTAAAATTGGTGACTCATGGTCACTGAGACCGTAGCCGAAGAAAGAATGGTGGCATGTGGTCACTGAGGTTGTAACCAAAGTAGAAATGGCGGCTCGTGGTCACTGAGGTCGTAGCCGAAGTAAAATTAGTGACTCGTGGTCATTGAGGTCGTAGTCGAAGTAAAAATGGTGACTCATGGTCACTAAGGCTGTAATCGAAGTAAAATTAGTGACTCGGGGTCACTGAGGTTAAATACTTTATAAAAAAATGAAAGACATTTGTACAAAAGAAATGTATTGGGCTGGGTTTAGATAAACCCATGTAAAAAGTCTGACATGGAATTAGTACATGACATGATAGCTATCTTTTTAAAAGAGGTGTATAATAAATACGGTCTATGAAAAATAACTAAAATAACTTAACAAACGCAACCAAAAATGAACCGTCGAATTCAAAAAAGTCTCATTAGGAGTTAACCATCAAATTCGAATTGGTGTGATTGTTACCGTTAGATAAGATTAATCACAATCGTTAAAACGCAAACTTGTACTGGTATATATACCCACACTTATGTAAATTTTTATTACTTTGGTTGTATTTGCTATTGAAGTTTTGCCAAAATTTTAAGAGATCTAGTACAACCAAACTTTTACTAAGAGTTTTGAAATGCAACTAAGTTTTACACTACCGAGATCAAGTAATTTAATGTTTGTTGGTGATTTTGATTCTAGTGAAGAGTTTGATTCTCCTCTCATCCTCTCTGATTTAGATTTAAGCCCTTTGAAAGAGGTTAGGTTTAGGAGTGAGAGTCACATAGAACGTGAGTTAGAGTTTTTTGAAGATCCTGACTACATCCCATCTCCTACTCCGTGTTGTGAAAGCTACGAAACAAAAGAGATGTTGTCGGAGGAAACATTAAGTGTTGGGGGGAGTGAGGAAGTTAGGATGGTGGGAGAAGTTAGCATAGTAACTAAGTCATCTGGGTTGGAGAGAACGATAGTAAAGGTGAAAGGTGAATAGGTGGTTGAAGGGGAGGGAATTCCTTCGAATATTTTGGAGCTTGAGGATACAGGTGAACCTTGTTACAATGTGGAGGTAGACATTGTGTCTGAAGTGATGGGGTATGAAACCAAATGGTTGAGTAGGGAGAGCCTAGTGCACATTGTTGAAATGTATGACCTTCCCTACCAAGTATTGATTAGGCCAGCCGGGGTAGAGGAAAGAGCATGCTCAACACCCCGGGACCATTGGATGCCAATTTACGCCCATTATTTATTGGCAAGGCTAAGGTTTCCCTTACCAAAGCTTTTGGTCAGGTTGTTGTCAGAGTATAACATAGGGGTGACACAACTGGCCCCAAATGCAATGAGGGTAATTACAGGTTTTTTAGTTTACTGCTGAGCTCGAGGGGTTAGAGTTCCCACTATAAACATGTTTAAGTATTTTTTTGTCTTAAAGGGTGGGAGTAAAAAGGAGAAGGGTTGGTATTACTGTACTCCCTAAGTGTCTAATAGGGAGAAAAGGAATTTGTTTAGTGCAGGGCCGTTATCCATCAAGGATGGAAGGAGAGATTTTTCTTCATTGATGACATTGAGTGGGGGAGGGGGGATGCCAAAGTGGAATTCTTATCCACTTGGAAGGCAAAAAAGGCCAACCAAAATAAGTATAGTTTGAATGGGGATTAGGAAGAGGAAGTAGAGAAGTTGGTGAGAGGGGGGGATGATGTTGTAGACATTGTGTATCTCACTAGGTCAAATGCTGTAGAGGCAGTTGAAATTTATGGGGTGAACTCTTTAAGTGAAGGTGTATCTTATTTTGCATTATATAATCATGTAGTGGGGTTTTCATTGTTGTTTTAACATTTATGTATTTTGCAGAAGAAATGGACAAGTTTCTTGCTACTGTTGGGGGGATGGTGATTCTAAAGAAGCCAAGGAAGAGGTTAAAGACTTCAGCTACAATAGTTGTTGGGAGTCAAGGGGGTAGAGGGTAAAGAGAAGGGACAGCTTTCCAATAGCTCAATTCAGGCTCCGGAGACTGAAGGGCCGAAGCCAGATCTCAAACAGAAGGGAAGTGAAGAAGTTGGGAAGTTGGTCCTGCTCAAAAGAGGATGAGGATGGAGGAGCATGAGTATAGGGGGGATGAGGTGGTGGAGTTTGTACCTCATCACACCCCCCCCCCCTCGGGGGTTGAGCTGGACCTAGAACTCAAGGAAGTTGATGACCCATGGGAAAGAGAAGTCTATTGTTCTTGCACCTTCGCAATATCTTGTTTGATATAAAGAGTATGACAGTTGCGAAGAGGTTTATAAACTCAACTTTCCCTGAGGTTGATCGTCGTGGAGCTCGGGAAGAGGTGTAGAGCCATGGTGGGGTTGGGATTGCAAAACACGTCCTTGAGGTATGATTGGTTTTTTTTTTTTTTTATATATGTATAGATATATTTTGATTGTTGGGGTGTGGTAGGCTGCAAACTTGTGAATGCTCTATCACAGGAGTTTTTTGAAACCCTTAGAGAACGTAATGCTTTGGCGAAGGAGAAGGAGAAATTGGGAAAGAAGAAGGACGAAGTGGAGAAAGACCTAGCAGAGGTCATGCCAGAGCTTAGACGTCTTCAGCAAGAGAATGATGTAGTGAAGACGTAGCTAGCATTTGAGGAAAGGAAGAGAAGGATCTGTGAAGATAAAATAGAAGCACAAGAGAAGAAGATTGAGGGAATGAAGAAGGCTATTGTTGAGCTGAAGAAAAATGTGAACTTGCTAGTTCACAATGCGATGAAGGAGCATATTGTTAGGTTCTTGAAGTCCAGCACTTTTGACAACATTGTGAACCTCTACCGGCTTTCTACAGCGATTTTGGCATTCTCCGACTGTAGAAAGAAGGTGAAACCCCAACATCCCGAACTGGATGTGACTGACATCACCTTCGGGGAACAAGAAAGAGGGGTGGAGGAAGATGGAGAAAAGCATGAGAGCTTACTTTCGCCCTGAAGTCAAGTTGAAATGGGACCACGATAGTAAAGGTCATACCATCTTTCCTCCTAACTTTGACTTCAAATTTGTTGCAGTTGAAGAAGAAATAGAAGTCAGAGTACTGAGGTTGGAGGTGTTGAGATTGAGGAGAATGAGCTAGAGGTCAGAAGTGTTGAAATCAATCAGCAATCCTTACTTGAAGTGAACCAGCCACCTCCACCAGATGAAGTGAACTAGCCACCTTCATCAGCACAGTAGCATGCTTTGTTTTTCTAATTTCTTCCTTCTTGTGCTAAATTGTAAATAGTGTATTTTGTTTATAATATTTTTATAACATTTGTTAACAATTTATTTATATATTTAAGGTTTATTTTACACATTTATGCGTTTTTATTGTGTATGCTTTAAGTAGATATTGAAAGGAAATCACCTTGAGTATGAGCTGGAATTCATTAATAAGATTCAAATTCGAAAAACAAATTGAGCTTGAACAAAAATTCCAAAGAAATAAATGGTAGGAAATTGACCTCGGATAAAAGTTCCAAAGAACTAAATGACAAGAGATTAATCTTGGATAAAGGAATCAACAATTAAGCTAAGATAAAATTCATTGGGGGAATTGAATTATGGGTAAAACCTTTTTAGATTGTTCACATTCTAAACTCTAGGAACTCTTTTCGGCACCTGGGTATGGCACTTCGGCTACTGTATAAGGGCTTTCCCAATTTGGGGCTAATTTGCCAAACGAGTTTCAAACCCCATTAGGTTGGCTTTCCTTAGAACAAGGTCATCAAATCTAAATGTTCAAGGGCGAATCTGTTTGTTGTAGAAGTTGGCTAATCCCTGCTTGTATGCCAAAGTTTGAAGTCGTGCTTCCTCTCTGACTTCGTCAAACAAATCAAGGTTCTCCCGAAGTAGTTGTTCATTTCGTCCTTCATCGAAATGGGTGACCCTAAAGCTTGGGACTCCTATTTCAACAAGATTGACTGCTTCGATACCAAAAGTCAGGTGGTATGGTGTTTCACCTATTTCATTAAGTTACAATTTTAGCATATGCTTTATATGTTTTATATATATATATTTTTGACCATAATGGGGCAACAGGAAAAAAATAAAGTAATGAGAGGATAAATAGAGGTAGAAAATAGTACCTGTGGTGGTTCAGTTCGTAATTCTATATGCCCATAGCATGTTGTCGAGCTCGTTTGCCCACCTGGCCTTATGCTACTTCGACCTCAGTTTTATTCCTTCCAGAATAGCTTATTAATAGATTCCACCATACCATTGGACTCCAAGTGGTACATCGAGGTAAGATTCCATGTTGGAGTAGAAGTCTCTAAATGTAGAGCAATTGAGCTGAGTTCCGTTATCAATCACAATTTGATTTGGAATCCCATATCTGTAGATGATTGAATTGAAAACAAAGTCCTCAACCAATTTCGTGAAGTAATCAACCTCAACTACGTATGAGTTACTCCTCCAACTCCTTTCACAAATGGACCTAAGAGATCAAGGCCCCACTGAATGAATGGCCATGGTGCCGCAAGGTTTGTAAGTTCTTCAATTGGTTGGTGACTTAAATGTGCAAAAAATTGGCACTTTGGGCACCTCTGCACGACATCAGTGGCATCTTTGTGCATATTTGGCCAGTAGTAGCCCTATTTGAGAACTTATAAGCCAGGGTTTGAGCACTAACATGACTTCCACAAACACCTCCATGGACCTCTTGGAGTGTATATTCAGCTTCATAAGGGCTTAAACATCAAAGAAGGGGAAGTGAGAAAGATCTCTTATAAGGACTCCATCCATTAAAGCATACCAAGATGCTTTCTTTCTCAACCTCATTTCTTCTTATTTATTGTCAGGGACTAACCCGTCTTGTAGGAAAGACACAATTGGGTCTGTCCAAATGTCCAGCTTGGTGCGTTAAGATCCATGCTAATCTCCATCATCCTTGGTTTTTGGAAGCTAGGCTCATTTAAAACCTCAACAAAAATTGATCTTGCACCTCAGGAACTATCAGAGGTGAACTTAGGGAGTGAATTTGCTTGTTCATTTTTAGCTTGGGGTATCTTAGTCAGACAGAATTTCTCAAATTTGCACTTGAGTTCAGCCATCCAAGCTACATACTTCATCAGAGATAGGTCAACTACCTCGCAAAAGGACTTAACTTCATTAACTACAAGCTGTGAATCACTATAAATCTGTATAGTTGCGACTTTCAATTCCAACGCTAACTATAGACTAAGCAGTAAAGCTTCATATTCGGCCATATCGTTAATTGCATCAAAATTGAACTTCAAGGCATGTTCACTTCGGTAGCCATCTAGTCCTACCAAGATTGCTCTAGCTCTTGATCCTTTGTTATTTGATGCACCATCAACATATAAAACCCATGTAACTGGTTGGACTTCCTGACTTGGCTGCTCAAAGGTGCATTCAACAACAAAATCTGCTAGTGCTTGAGCTTAAATTGCTAATCTGTGCTGGAATGTTATTTTAAGTTCTCCTAGCTCGACTGCCCACTTGATCAATCTACCAGAACATTCTGGTTTTTACAATATTTGCCGAAGTGGCTAGTTTATGAGGACAACAATCAAGTGTGAGTAAAAGTATAATCTTAACTTCCTAGTGAAAATAACAACTACTAAAGCTGCTTTTTCAGCAATGGAATATCTCTGTTTCACCCTACGTAGCACTTTGCTGGTATAATAAACTGATCTATGCTACTTTCCTTCCTCCCTTATTAGTACCAAATTGATTGCCTCGTGTGAGATATCGAGGTACAGGTAAAGAATCTCCCCCTCAACAACTTTCGTTAGTAGTGGAGGTGAGCTAAGATAAGACTTATGCTCGCCAAATGCAGCTTGGCATTCTGAATTCCACTCAAACTTCCTCTATTTGCCAGATTCGTCTTTTTGAGTCACCGATCTCATAATCTTGAAAAATGGGAGACACTTGTCAACAGATTTGGAAACAAATCTATGGAGGGCTGCCACCCTACCAGTTAGCCTCTACACCTCTTTCACCGACCTGGGAGGTCCTATGTCCTTTATCGCTTCGATCTTTTTTGGGTTAACTTCAATACCCCATCTGGAAGCCATGAAACCTAGAAATTTTCCAAATTCCACTCCAAAGATACATTGGGCCGAATTTAACCGCATTCTGTTCTTCCTCAAATTAGTGAAAGTTTCCTTTAGGTCAACTATATGATCTTCAGCTTTCAAGCTCTTCACAACAATATCATCAACATAGACCTCTAAGTTCCTGCCAATCTGAGCTCGAAATGCAATGGTTACCATTTTCTGATAAGTGCCACCTGCATTCTTTAAGCCAAAAGGCATCATGACATAGCAATAGCTTTCATCTCTTGCGCAAAATTAATTTTTCTCTTCATCTTCTAGGGCCATTAAAACTTGGTGATAACCAGAATATGCATCTAAGAGACTCAACCTCTCATTTCCAAAAGCTACTTCAACCAGTTTATCAATATTTGGCATCGGATAGTAGTCCTTAGGACAGACTTGATTAAGGTTAGTGTAGTTAATACACATTCGCCATTTGTCATTAGATTTCTTGACCAACACCAGATTGGCAACCCATTCACAATTGTCGACTCTTCTGATAAAACCTACTTGTAAAAGCTTTTCTACTTCATCTTTAATCACTTTGAGTCTCTCCCCCCTAAAGAGGCGTCATTTCTATGCAACTAGCTTTTTCAAGGGATTTGTGCTAAGTCTATGCATAGACACAGAGGTGGGAACTCCTGGCATGTCTGCAGAGGTCCAAGCAAAATCATCTTTGTTAGCTTAGAGGAATGGTATCAGCTCAGCTTTTTCTTCTTGGTTTAATTGAGTTCCGATTTGGGTTTTTCTGTTCAGATCTTTGTCATCAATCTGTACTTCTTCGACATCTTCAACTGGGGCGGCTCGAGTTTCATCCTCCGACTGATTATCAAGTATCTTTACCCCCATCACTTGCTGTTGAATGGTTTCTAGCATCTGGTTCTTTTCTTTTTGCAGTCTTGTGACTAAGGTAATGTAACAATGTCTAGTTATTTCTTGATTGCCTCATAGTGTTGCTACTCCCATAAGAGTGGGAAATTTCATGTAGATATGAGATTGGGAGACCACAGCTCTGATCTCTGTTAATGTAGGCCGACCTATAATGATGTTGAAAGATGAAGCCATTTTAACAACTAAAAATTGAACTGAAGGGGTGACATAAGTTTTGCCACTTCCAAATGCTGCATTGAGAGTAAGGACTCCTTCTACCTGAATAGGTTGGTTGTTGAAACCATATATAGGACCATCATACCTTTGTAATAGAGCTAGTTCCAAGCCCAAACTCTCAAAACAATGGTAATAGATGATATCTGGTGCACTGCCTGTATCGATAAGAACACGCTCTACCTCATAGTTGTTGATTATAATAGATGTGACTAATGGGTCATTATGGGGAGTTATAACTTCGTCAAGGTCAGCAAATGTAAAAGTGATGGGTTGATTCTTCCATTTAGCATCATCGAACTTTCATTTTTGAGCCCTGTTTTGGTGTTTCACCTCCTTGACATATAATTTTTGCTGTTTAGAGCTCAAACCTCTTGCTTCTGGCCACATGTGCTCATGTGAATGATTCTAGCCAGTGGTGGGAGGGTTGGTGGAGCTTGTTAATATCCCACTCCTTGTCTATTACTTACAATACAAGGTCCCTATGACTGTAACCCTTGTTCCTTGACAAAATTATGCTATTTGTTTTCTGGATATACGTATTTAACATCCCCTTCCGAGCTAAGCCTTCCAACTCAAACTTTAGTTGATTACACTCCTTCGTGGTAATACCATGATCTTGATGAAAATCACAGTATCTGGTGTGGTCTTGGGTAGCGGGAGAACTTCTCATTGGCGCTGGTCGCCTCATGTCCATCTTATTCTTAATTTGCATGAATATCTACGACCTCAACAGATTAAAAAGGGTCCACACAATTGGTGCTTTCCTAGAAGCTTGCTGAGGTGCTACTTAATCTAGTTTTCCAAATCTAGGAGTGGAGGTCGGCATTAGACCTCAATTAGGAACTATCTTCACTCGTTTCCTACTCTGGCCTTCTTCTCTCCAGGATGGATTGTGGTTCTTAGCCAGCATTGGCTTTCCTGATAAAGTATATTCTTCAACTGTTATGAATTTCAAGGACATATTGTTAACTTTGTCAAAGGAAGTAAGAGGGTGCTTAATGAGATTATCCCTAAATCTTTCATGCTTGAGACCTTAAATTACGGCTGCGATTCCTATAGCTTGGTGAAATGAGCTAACCTCAAGAGCAGCATCATTGAATTTGCTCATATAATTTTTCAAAGACTCTCCCCTCCCTTTGAATGATTCGCATAAGTTCAGGTGTAGTTTTCTTAATTAACCTCCTACTGGAGAACTTAGTAGCGAAGATAAACGCCATCTCGATATAAGAGCTAATAGATCTCGGGGGTAGACTATAGTACCAAGTTCGAGCATTACCTTAGAGAGTTAAGGGAAAGATTTTGCACATCAATGCATCAAAGGCATTTTCAGCTTACATACATGAATAAAAAGCATGCAAATGATCATCTGGGTCCTTGATTTCATCATATGTTTCAAGCTAAGGTATCTTGAAGCTAGTAGGATAAGGTTCCGATGTGGTCATGTTATTAGTGACCCTGCTGGTGGGGGTTTTAAACGCTAGCATATGTCGACATGTTATTGATAGAACCGGTTCATTCGATTGACCCTGCTAGTGGGGGTTATATACCAGCAAATAGTGCACCTGCCAGTGGGTGGTTTATAACACTGGCCATGACCTATAGAGAAGACGTCTATTTCATGCCCGTACTCATATCTGTTTTTCGTGATTATACTTGTTGACATGCTATAAGTTTAATTAAGGGCATTTCATATTTTACTTACTGAGTGTATCTCGTAGTTTTTCCTAGTCCACCATTTCATGAAGCGAAACTGAGTACGGGAAAACCACGGGAAGTGACGAGTTAGAAGGCTAGCCATTTCGAGATTGATATAGATTTTAGAAATAAATCATGCTTTTGTAAGATAGATTTTACCTTGAATTTATGAGATCAAAACAGATTTCGGTCATTAGATCAATTACTTGGATTTAAGTCATTTTGGATATAGAAATAAATTGAAATATCTGATTTAAGTTATTGGATTGTCATATGTGAATTGGATAAATTCCGAGCCTTGTGCATTTGTGGGATCTTCTCACGAGTGCACAACGTCTGTCGCGTCCTCAGATTTGAGTTCTAGGGCGTGATAGTAATATATAATATTCAATAAGTAAAAGTTTATTAGTTCTTGCTATTTATTCCTCTATGACTTAGTAAGACAGTATGC